ACATCCCCATTAAGCTTTAGATTAAAGAAAAAAATCCTAATGGCATCCAGAGAGAGCCGATGGGAAGGAAATTTTCCTACGAGAGCAAATTCGAAAGGGGCAGCCAGGGATTTGATTTCCATCTCCGAAATCCACAAGGAAGGCATGCCTCTAAACGAAGAAACTTCAAGCTCAGGAAAATCAACAGAGGAGGAAGAAGAACCATAGAGCACATCTTTAAACGAAAGAGGCGAAGAACCAGGTGAAAAACCGGGATCGCGAAGCCGAGAAGAAGCCATTAAAACAGAAACACATAAACAAAAGGAAGAAAAACTTCCCTTGAGCACGAAGGATGCACGAAGCACGCAGAGCGGAGGCGGCCGCCGGGAGGAAACTAGGGCGATGCCCTAGTTCCCAGAGCTCGAGGGCTGCGAATGAAACTGATCATTATAACTTGATTGTTACATGTTTTGATGTTTTTAGGGTCTTAGGGATGCTTTTCAAACTTAATTTTGATATTTTGGTAATCCAATGGTGCTCTTATAATCCAATTCGAGCAAATTTAAAGAATTGAGAGAAAAATAATAATAATTTTTACTTCAAGTTACACACTAACTTCATGGAAAGCTAAATTATAATTAAGGAGATTATACTTGGTTAACGACCTCAGTGAGAGGTCCATATTCACTCATCATTTTTAAAAAAAAGATAATTTTATTTTGCATAGATTTGAATATTTAACATATATTTTCAAGCAACACAAACTTAAGTTTGTTTAAAAATAAGATGCATATGATACATCTTCAAAAAAACTCACTTGATAAGCATGAATCTAAAGGTAATATTGAATTAAAAACTTTCAAAATTAAATTCAATGCTATCCGAACTTTTATTTCAATAAACTTATACCCAAACTAAACATCTCAGCAAAAGGTACCAATTGCACCACAAATGATCTAATATGAGTTCAATTGACTCCAAATAAAATAATTGAAGTATAGTTGAAATTTTCTGAATATTAATTAAAGAATCACCAAACAATCTCTAAATCTTTAATTTGTGCTTATAGTCAAGTCGAATCTAGCGACTCTATTAGGAAAATCTTACAAGCCCAAGACCATTTGATCATGACATCAACAAGACATTCAAATACAGGATAATTGATATATGATCAATGAGATCAATATGAGTCTTTTGATGGAGTATTTTTGATTTTAGTCAAATGTATCAAAACGCCCTTCTCCAAAAAACTATAAATAAGGTTGTTCTTTACATGGGAGCGGGTTCGAGAGATGAGAATGCTAAAAAACTCTATTGTATTTTTCTAGTGATCCCCGTTGATGACTGCCATCAGCAATCACCTCCACCTTTGCCATCTTCAATCATCTAAATATTGTCTTTTGACTATTAACAACAAATTTTACTATAGGACTTTAACTAGAGGTGTTAAAAATTGACTCGACCTGCCAATCAGATTCAAACTAGAACCGAAAAAGTGAGCTCAATTGACTCAATTTAATAAACAGGTTGGGATTCGGGTTGACCAATAAACCCATTTTTCAGGATTCAGATAGACGAGTAAACTCATTTTTTACCCAAAAAATTATCCATTTGATATTTTTTTTCTTAATTTTTTTTTAACATGAGTTTGATGTTATTTTTTATTATCAAATATCATAAATTTATAGTTAATAAGTTATTTTTTTATCCAAAATTGTTTAATGGGCCGAGTTTGGTTCATTGGGGTTGCTGGTTATTCATATTGATGTTTTGACTCATTTATTAAATGGATTGGATTAGGGTTGATTGGGGTTGGGTTAAACTCAAACCCATCATGACGACCCGTTTTGACACTCTTAGCTTTAACTATTTACTTGTCAGTATTGGATTTCTGTAAAAGAAGTTGTTTTCAACTAATAAAGTCCACGTTCTTTAAGCTGATGAGGAAGGAATTATTCTTGTATCTATCACTATAGCCCCCGAGGTTTTTCTCCATTTTTTTATTTTAATAAAAATAATTTTAGTGTCTCTGTATAATTTTACCTGCGCATGCTGAATATTTATATAAAACTAAGATATTAAAATTTTTATCTCTGCAAAGTTTCTAACAAATAAATTAATAATTATCATTACAATTTTACTTAAAAAAATAAACTAAAATCTTATAATAAATTGTCAAATACTTCGTCATAATTCAATCTCTATCATATATGTCCAATAAAATTGAGAATTTAACTGTTTCATAATTTACTATATTCAAATTTACATATGCGTTACTAAAATCTTCCTGAGTTAAATCCTGCTTGCAGCCAAATGGACCGTAAGGGGCGGTTTGGTGTCGGACTTAAGCCGGATTTACGATAAATCTTGTCAAACATTTTTCAAGCGCACAGTAAATCCGAGTCCAGCGTAAATCTGGATTTACGGTTAAAACCCAGGATTTACTAAATCCTGTTGTTAGGCAGATTTAATGGGATTTATGGATTCATGAAGTTCTTTTGCGGCGAGCGAGCAAACTCCTATCATGAAGGAGGAGGCAACTATGATTACCTATGCAGTAAGCGAGCTCTCATCGTGACTTATGACCTGACACCTTCGAACGAGTCAAAGAAGCTGCTTTAACACCTTTATCAAAAACAATTTCACATGATGCCAAAGTAGCCACGAAGAAATGACAATGAGGAAAAGTAACAACAGCAAAGCACGAGAAGAAGATAAAAAAAACCCTAGACAACCTCCTAAATTAAAAATTAATCTAAGTTATCATTATTAATATAACTTAAATATTAATAACGAATTAGATTAATTAAATAAGTAGTATGCAATTAAGTAATCTAATTAAGCTTAAATAATTGATTAATAGTGTAATTGGTCATTTAATTAGTTAATTAATATAATTTAAAACATAAAAAAGTTAATTATATAGTCAGTAGTTGAATATTATACATATCATGTTAAGCGATATGTGCTCTGCTAGGGTTTGATGTCTTGCGTCGTCGCGTGCTTCTCCGGCCGCCTCTAGGAAGTTTATTCTCCTTTCTTTTGCATTTTTTTGTGATTTCCTTTGTTATGGAGGGTAAAAGACTTTTTGATCCTGGTTTCTTGTCGGGTTCTTCTTCATCTCGTTCTTTCCGTGAGGCTTTAGCGGGTTCTTCCCATGCTTCTAACTCCTCTTTCCCTGATCTTAAGATTCATCTTTTCGAGGGCTTCCTTCTCTCTGGATTTCGAATGAGGAAGTGTTAGCCCTTGCTTCTTCTTTTGAGTTTGCGCTTGTTTGTAAATTTCTGACTCATCGCCCGTCGTTGGAGGCGATTCGGAGATTTTTTTCACTCTAAAACTTATGGGTGTTTTTTTTGTCACTGTCCTTAATTCTAAGCATATTCTTATCAAGCTTGAGAATGATATGGATTATTGTCGCATTTTTTCCCATCGCTCATATTTCGTGAACAATTGTTTCATGAAGATTTTCAAATGGTCCCCTACCTTTGACATTGATGTCGAATCCCCTTCTATCCCTATATGGTTTCCTTTCCCAACCTCAGGCCGCATCTTTTTGACCATAGAATCTTACATGGACTTGGTTCCATGTTTGGTAAACCTCTGAAAATTGATCAGGCTACCTCCTCTGGTAGGCGACTATCTGTTGCTCGAGTACTTGTGGAATTAGACGTTACCAAGGTGTATCCTGAGAAAATCTGGATTGGTTCCGAGAGCTTAGGCTACATTCAATCGATTGTGATGGATTCCTTTCCTTCTTATTGCTCTCACGGTAAGTCCCTAGGTCACTTAAAACTTGATTGCCCGATTCTTCACCCTCCTTCTAATCGTACGGCTGTCCATCCTGCTGTTAAGGTGGCACCAGGCATTTTGGATTGTGATAATCCTGTAACTTTACCCCCTATGGTTCCTAAGGCTTTGATTAATGAAAGTGGTAGAGTGGACATGGCTATTGATTGTGTAGATGGTGATGTTGATGCTTCTTGCTCGCCTATGCCTATTCAGAATGGTTTTATTAGTTCCGGACCTGTGGTGCATTCTGTTATTTCACCTGATCATGATCCTACCTCCCCTGTTTTGGTCGGTTTACCTGCTGTGGAAAATGCTGTGGTTTCTGATGTGGGTGGTAATGTTAATGGTGATGAGGCGGCCGGTATTTTATCTCCTGATGCTAAACCTTTTCTTCCTCTTGGCTTGAATTTCGTTTCCCCTTGTGTTTGTCATAGTGCTAAGGGTCCTCCGTGTGTTGGTCCTCTGATGTCTGTGAGGTCTGCTCCGTCTGTGTTGGAATGACCGAGTAAACTTGTTATTGTTTCTGATAATATGACTGCGGGAGTGTGTGATGCTTCTGTTTCTGGCGCCTCTAGCTCGATTCCTAATGACTGTTTTGTTAAGAATAATTTGATAGATGTTCCTGTCACTTTAATTAATCCTCAAGAATTAGTGTATAATGTAAAGGACAATTCGGGCATTGATGTTCGTGTGAATCTGGACTGGCTTCAGGGTTCATCTGATTATGAATCTGATTTTTTTGGAATCTTCTGGGGACGACGATCCTGGTAACTCTTTCAATGTGTTAAGTGACAAACCTCTCGTCTCCGTTGCTTCTCGTGATAGGTCACGGGGGAGGGGCCGTCATGGTCGCTGATGGTTATTGTGGCTCCTCATTTGGTTTCTTTTGGCTGCACATTGGATCTATTGTTCTGTTTTTGTGTGGTTGCTCTCGACGGTTTCTTTCGGTGTGGTTGTTCTATCAGTTATGTTATGGACGATGAAGAAGCAGTGCTGCTGCAAGCGTCCTGGATGCCCAGGGTTGGTGAACAACTTGGGTGGTCCGTTGTGTTGGTTGTTTCTCTTTGTCGGTTTTGTTGTGCCCCATGGATGGCTCCTCCCTGGCAACTCGATGCTGGTCTGAGTCCGCGCCTTTGGAGCCCTTTTCATTTTGGCATTTTTTTGTGCCTTTGCTGTTCCTTTTTTAAACTAATGCTGTGACCCTGTTTGGGGTCTTTCATTTACACTCTGCCTTAATCTTCTCCAGAGGAAGTGGAGAGGACGCGGATCCGATCTCATTTTATGATATGATTTCAATTTAAGAGCTTTTCTCTTCCCCTCCCCACACGCCAGTATCCGTTCTGATCTGGGTAATGGGGCTAGTTAACCTGCCGCCGTCACGACGCGGCGGCGGTGGTTTGTCCCGGCCATGGACGCTGCTGGATCTCATCTCCTTCTCTCTATTCGCTGCCGTCTTCATTTTCTTCCTTCTCGTATTCACATCTCTTGGTGACCCACTCGCCGCCGCTGGCCGCCGAGCCCTTGCCCACTCATCCTCCTCAGACCCGCGCCAGCGCCAGCGGATCCTTGCTGTCTTCGATGCCCCTGTCAACTTTCTTGCCAGGCAGCAACTTGGTGAGTCGGTGGAACCGGTGTTGCAAGCTTGCTCGGCGGAGGAAGTGGACCACATGCCATGCGAGGATCCCAGGCGGAGTAGTCAGCTCAGTAGGAAGATGAACTTCTACCGTGAGCGGCACTGCCCACCGCCAGGAGAGGCGCCGCTTTGTCTCATCCCGCCACCTGATGGCTACCGATTCCCAGTGCCGTGGCCGGAGAGCCTTCACAAGGTCCTTGCTGCTTGTCTTTTTCTCTTTTGATTTATTTTCTGCTCTATCCAATGATTCTCAAGTATTTGGGTACTACTTATATCGGATTCTTGATCTTTTTATCCGAAGTTGAGTGACGAAGCACAAACTCAGGCTGGAGTCAGGTGGTGGTTGGATTCCCTTCAATTTCGAAAACATGTATTGTTTTAACATCTTTCTTGGAGAGTAGGGTTTTTTGGGGATACTTAGTTATATGTTTTCAAAATATATGATTTTTTTGTGATATGGAGTAATTGAAATGAATATATTTGAAAAAAAAAAATACGTGTTGCATTCTGGAATATTCACGGCAGTAGAGAAATATAAAATTTAATGTCTTAACTTTGTACGAAGATCCAGCACACAAGCAGATATAAGAGAGGGTGTAGCGTTCATAAGAGACACCGGAGTTTTTACATGAAAACCCCTACCAAGGGGCATGACCTAATTTGAATGAATCCACTATTATTTGGAGTCGATTACAAATGAGGCCCTTCCTTGGGGGGAAGGCCTTGGGTTGATGTAGCAAATGTACATCATATTACATAGTGGGAATTAGAAGAATTAATATTGAAATGTTCGTTTAGTTGGTGAACCATAGTCGGTGAGCGACGAAGGTCGGAAAGACCGTAATTTGGTGACGGTGGTCGGAAGGACCGTTGTCTGGTGAGGGAGGTCGGAAAGATCGTAGTCGGCGAGCGACAGTGGTTAGAAAGACTGTTGTCTGGCAAGGGAGGTCGGAAGGTCCTTAGTTGCCGGGAGACAGTGGTCAAAAAGACCGTTATCTGACGATGGAGGTCGGAAAGACAGTAGTAGGTGACGGAGGTCGGAAAAACCGTACCTGGCAAGAGACAAGGGTCAGAAAGACCGTTGTCTAGCAATAGAGGTTGGAAGGACTGTAGTAGGCGATGAAGGTCGGAAGGATCATAAAAACAATTGATATGTGATATTTTAAGTAATAATGATATTAAGGAATAAATCTATAGTGAAATAAGCTATCTCATTTACACTTATAGAAACAATTGATATGGATCTACAAAAAAATTATTCAAAGTATCGGCACAAAGAACAAAAGAGAGAGATAGGCTGAGAGAAAACTCATGGGCAATTAGGCTCATGAGTTGGTGGGTCAGGCACAATCAACTAAAGATCTATGACTGCATTACTTTGCGTGAATTGATCACAACTGGAAAAAAATGGGTCAAAAGGGAGAGTGCTAAGGAGAGAGAGAAGAAAAGATAGACATAGGGAGGGGGTAGAGAGAGTGGGGTACTCACCATCTGGATGATTGGGAGATTATTAGTCAAAGACCCATTGTTGGCAAGGGAGGAGCATTTCGTACCCACACTAGGAGCGCTGGTTGCGATGAGAATTAACAATTACGTTTTATTAATCATACAGGTGGTTATTTTAAGCAATAAACTTTATTATAAAAATATAATATAATTTACTTTGGGTTTTGTTGGTGGGGGTTCGGTCCCTTAGGGATCCCACTATAGCTTCACCCTTAGGCGATTGCTAGTAGTGGGTTGTGTTGAACTATTGTGGGCGGTGAGTAGGAATTGATAGAGGTTGTAGCGTGAATTTGGAAATTACCAGTTCTAAGCCATTTTCAAATCTGAGAAAAATAAATTTCTTAAGATATTTTAAATCTTTCTATTTTTTTTTTGTATAGTTGTCAATGAAGATGACTTAGCTAATGATTCTCTTAAGTGATATGGGATGGCTCCCATATATGTTCGTGCTAGTTTCAACCTTATGAATTTGAGTGCTTTCCCAATTTTGAGAAATTGAATATCCTGTTTTTCTCTAGAACATGGTCTTTACAAATGTTTGAATCTATAGATCTTAAACTTGAGGTTTTACCTTTAGAATGATTTTTTTTTTTGCATTTCTCACTCACATGGACTAACCTTAGATGTCATATATTTGATTCTATGTATGCATGGGTAAGAACTCTTAGCTCCTATGTTGGTGGTATTTAAAAAGTTTTGTCATGTTGCCTCGAATCATGGTTTAAAATAGGCACGCCTCAACGCAATTTAGCCCCTCTAAGCCTCAATGCCCACGCAATGAGTTCAGGATATGAGGCGTACGTGATGCGGACATCAGATCCTTAATGTTCCATCAGGGACGTGGCCGATAATCGACGACTATGATGATGCCTTTTTATTTCAATTATATGTGATGTATTTATTTATTTTCAGTCTTTTTCCATTTATGCCCTTGCTTAAGGGATTAGTTCTTTGAAAGCCCCGAGGGCATTGTTGTCTTTTATTTTTCCCTTCTTGTATTTGTCTGTCTAAATCCCTCCTCTTCTTAGAGAAGGGCTAATGATGATTAATATGAAATTTTCAGCTTGTGCTTATGGATCTTTTTGTGAGTTCTAAGTTTTCTCTCTTTGGATGATCTCTTAGTGAGTTCATGAGAGGAGAGGCCCAAGTGGGGCAAAAGCAATACCCGTCAATCTTGGTGGATTCCAAGGTTCGCGGTTTTCTTATCTTTCTTGTTCTTTTAATTTTTCTTGCATTGAATTTCCTCCACTTTCATTCCGCCACCAAAATACCCCTTGATCCCCACCAAATTCCCCCTCCACAATTCCACCCGCCGGCCTAGCTCCTAGCCACCTCCACCCAAAGCCAAACCCGCATCTTCCTCTTGCCGCCGCCCCCACCATGCCCCCTTTTCCATTGTGATGATGATCTCAATCACATGATATCTTCCAAACTTAGTTGGGCTTGAGAGGGAAAATTGGAGTCAATTTGAAATTCAAATTTTTTTATTTAAACTCCCCTCCCTCTCTCCCTCTTTGGCCGGCCACCTAAGCTCCCCCATTTAATTAATTAGATCCCATAATTAAGGATCTAATTAATTCAATCCCCTCCCCACTTTCCCTCCTAATCTCCACTAATTTCAAATTCAAATTTCAGAGGAGATTAATCTCTAATTATTCACTAAATCTGAAATTAATTTCAGATTTTATTTTTTTCTCCTTCTCCACTTAGCTTGGCTGATCCCCTCCTCCCCTCTCTACATTTTCTCCTGGACAACTATGCATGGCCGATCCGAATATTGATCAGAGATTAGTCTTTGATTCCCAAGGACGTGTGGGCGTTTTGAGATCGTCTTTCGTGACGTCAACATAGAGATCGACGCCACCATTGAAGATTACGTGGATCAGAATTTCTGCACCACTTCCCGGTTGTTCCATGCTGCGGGAAAGCTCTTGGTTGCTGCGCACATCTTCCCCAGCATTCAAACGATCTTGTCAGAGTGTGCATCTCTCTTATCTTTGGGTAAACTCTACATCCGACTCTTTTAGCTTCTTAGTTTATTTCTCCAATGTGGTTATATTTTGATTCACAATGATGTTGTTGGTCCCTCCGCTAAAGCCTAGTAATAGGAAGAGTTGAGTGAAAGGTTCCTTGTAGTAGCTAGTCTTAATGTTAACAAAGAGATTTATTGTTGAGACCATTCACGAATGCAAAAGTGGATTAAATTGATTGATTTTTATGCTCTTAACTTCTATGCACGTAATTTAACCAACGCTATTCATCACTTTAATATTTTATTATAGTTCAAACCAACATGAGATTTTTCTTATTATTGTTCTCTAAAACTAAACGTGCAAACGTCTTTAAGCATCTCATCTTCCCATGATTGTTCTACATCAGTACGCCTCAAGTTTACTGAGGCGCACCTCAAGGCACGCCTCGCCTCACGGTTGAGAGGCGTTCGCCTCTAAAAAAAAAAAGATAAAAAAGCTAATGTACATGCTCGGTACCGCTCGGTATTTATCCATACAAACAACTTACGAACTTTAAAAACAAGCAGAACTTCAAAATTACAGGTCGAACCCTGCCAGGGGGCAGCGCCCCCTTGGATCCCCGGCAGACCGGTATATTGTTGTATTCATGTTGTCTTATTATTGGGATATTTTGATTTTACTTTATATCTTGTGCATTTTTATATTTTATATATTATTTACTCATTATTATTTAGTTGATAGTTCTTGTTATGAAATCTTAATCTACATCATCATTTATTGTTATTTGTATTTTGAGTCTTGCTTTTATTGTCTATCTTAAAATAGAAGACGATGTATGTTCTTATTCCTCGAATTGCTTGATATTCTTTCTGAATAAAAGATTTTTATCATCACTATGGTTAATTGTGGATGATCTATGTGAATTATTGAAGTTTGTTACAATGACGTGCAAGCTCTTAGGTAATTATAAGAGCAATGTTAAGGCATGGATCTCATCTTTGAACTTGATGTTCACAAAGTTCAATTTACTCATGATTGAGTTCAACTCGCTGATGTGATCAATTATCAAAGTTTTTGATGTTTAAAATTGAATAACTTGTGCGTTTTATGTACTTTATCTGTAAAACCCGAAATTCGTCAATTGAGTGTGTCGCACGCATATCGATGCACCGCGACGAACTTAAGTGAAATTTCGACGGCGTCAGAATTCGACGAAATAAATTTCATTAGATTCGTCTCGAAATTTCGAGCAAAATGGTATAAAGAACTTATACCTAATTTCGCTCGGCTTGGAAGATATAAATTGCCGAAGCTAGTTTAATTAAAATTTTTTTTTTTTTTGTATATATAGTGCTCTGTTTGCATCTTTTAGAATCCAACATTTTGGCCTACGAAACTGTTTATTTTGATTTTTTCATCCATCATGCTCAGATCTAAAATGTTTTTTAGACTATCACTCTGACACCAGTTATTAAGATGATGATAAACTTCAAGCAAAATCAAATGAACATGAGAAAACAATCGCACAAAAAATCTCAAATATAGCACACATAGAGGTCAAATATTTTAGAAACTTTAAAAAAGGTATATGGAGATATTACATTTCATATGAATAAAGACATATAGTACTTTGTTTTTGTTACTTTCATAAGAGAATATACCAGCTATTTTGAAATTGAGGGCGAAAAATGAAGAATAAATTGTTGGTGCTACT